TGGTTGGGAAGTGGGAGCCATATACGAAGACGTTGTAGCCGTATTCTGGCGTAAGTGGCACCCACTTCCCAACCGTGTTGAAATGTGGGGTTCTTTGTGTGTTTGTTCGTCATATTGCATTGCATCTCTCTCTCTTTCTCTCTCTCTCTCTCTCTCTCTCTCTCTTGGAAACCATGTTGGACTCATTGCAAACCATGTTGGAAACCATGTTGGACTCGTTGGGAATAAGTTGATAATGTTGATGAGTAGTTGAACACAGCAGAAGACCTAGTTTCAACAGTTGGTCACACCGCTTCTGGCGTGAATAAGTTAGACATCAAAAAAAAAAATTGTTGAATTTCGGCGACAATTTTTTTGTTGATCCTCAATCGTCAATGATCCCATTGCAGCTTCCAACTCAAATTGGTTGACTTCTTCCGGGGAAGCAAGTCGAAAGGTCGCTGGAAGATCTCGCCCCATGCGCCGGAAAGCTTCCTTTCTCATTCCTCCTTCCACATTTGGATCGATAAGATGTCCTTCGTGGTCATAAACCTCGCCCCGGATATTCGTATAGATAACCTTATCGTTTTCATCTTTTGTAACAGTCTGACAAAACCGTATCCCATGCCCATCTTGTCCGCAGTACTTGCAAAACCAATTCTGTCAATTACCTCGGCCGCCCCCATTTCCTCTGCCTCCCTCATTGCCTTGACCTCTACCTCGACCTCGGCCTCGGCCTCCTGCCTGAGGTTGGGGTTGCTGAGGAGGGGCTTGTGCCGCCTGTTCCTGGTTACTTCCTTGTCCACCTCCCCCATTATTCTTTCGTTGCTTTTTACTAGTACCTTGCCCTCCTCGTATCTGATTCAGGGCCTTCCATTCTGCCTTGGTCAATTTTCGAGGGGGCTCCACTTCCTCCTCATCTTCCTCTTCACTGCTGTTACTGCTCACTTCCTCCATAACGGGTGCTTTCCCCTTTCTCTTCCCTCCTTTCGTCTGGACCATCATCACTTGTAGCTTTAACCTTTCCTCCTTCATGTGAGCCATCATATTCCGCATATCAGTCAGGGTTTTGTAAACGGCTTGATCCTTATCCACGCTTACCCCTTCCTTTTCACGATCCTCCTTTTGCTGTTTCAGGAGACGGTAAAGCATCTGGTCAAAGCTTCCAGCCAACAAATTTTCCTTGATCTTTGGCCAGTCGTATCGACCAGTCACATCCTTCATCAGTTCCCGCTGCTCAACTTCCGAAAAATTTTCGAGGAAGATAAGGCACCGATCCTTACCAAGAAGGTCAGGCACTAAGCGCGCAACTCGTTCGAACTCCGTGAGGAATTGCTTGGCCGTACCAAACTTACGACGACTGATTTTCCGTAAATCTGCCTGGTCGAGCAGTTGATCCCCCAATTGGTACTTGTCCAATAATTTGGCCTTGAAGTCCGTCAAGTCGCTCGAGGCTTCCACCAACTCCGACGCCTCTTCATTATACTCGACCATACAATATCGCTTCACCATTTGAAGCGTCTTCTCACTCGTCCATTCACAACAGCTGCCCAATTGCTCAAACTTGTCCGCCCATGCTGAGGCATTAGTGCCATCGAAGAGGGGAACTTGAACTTTCGGCAACTGCGCCTTCTGATTATCCGCCTCTCGAATGGCCCGTGCTAGTTTCAGAATGTCATTGCGTCGATCCCCCTGCATTGCTATTCGCGGGATCAACACTTCCTCCCGTCATCTTGAGTGAATCAACATAACAAAAACCCACATATCCAAGTGTCAAACGGGCTCAATAACTTTGTCTTCCTTTCTTTCTTCAAATATTAACAGCCACTGACTACCTTCAATCCAAACAAACACCACACAACACTTAAAATCATTATAACCATCATTTTTCCTAGTGTCGTTCCACCAGGGACAACGGTAGTTTGTCGTCATCCCCGGCAAAGGCGCCACCTGTCGAGCGCATCGGCCCCCGCGTGAGCGAGGGCCCTCCTGGCTATGTCACGCAGGAGTTAAACGAAAACAAAACCAGAGACAACTTAGGACGATGCATGAATAATCCCGCGAACCGCCAAGATGGACGCGGTTGCATTGTCCCTTCGCCGCTCTAACCGGGTGCGTCAGCTGTACTTCCCACGGTCCCCTACGACAGGATAGGTTCTCGTGGGGCACATCTAACCTTCCCTAAGGGCATGTCACCACCCTCAGAGGCGTATCCCTACCGAGCTACTGACCCACATGCGAAGGCTTTTATATGCAATTGCAGCGGTAGGTCAGCCGAGGACGTTTGCTCGCTCGCTGAAGTATAGGTACGCTTGGTTAACGCCAAGTGAACCCGAACGTTATCCGTTCCCGCGGGCGCTGATCTCCTTGGTACGAACGAGCGTCGGTCGACTAGAACGGCCTCAACCAAACGTGAAACCGAATGTATAATCCTAGTCCCTTTGTAATCCCTTACACATAAAATGAATATAATCAATACATAAACAATATTTTGACTTGATGAGATGACCTGCCGAGGTTATCATTTTCTGCCTACATGACTGAAGAGACAATTATACCGCCGTCCGAGGACGGACGATCCGTTGCGCACAGCTTCTACAAGTAAATACCACTGGTACCATGCAGGTCAACAAGTGGTCTGACTCCTGACCAGTGTTTGAACTCCCGGTTCGATCACACCTCCATATCGTGGGCAACTTCTTGGAGGAGCGAACGTAATTTTGTTGGTCGCTTTGTCCTCCTAGGTGATAATTACTCTCGCTGTTCCACGAATGATGAAGTACCCATCGCCAACACCAGGTTACTTGGCATGAAAATGTTTCATTTTCCGATACTTTGTCCTCGTTGTTTCGCTCAATGTCGTTTAGATGCTCGATTTCCACTCTGTTCGGCTTATTTTTAAGCGATCGATTACCCCTCAATGCATAAGCATGATAGTGCTATCATCGGGGTAATCCAGATACTATCCATCTGGTTGGCCTACCTACGCAAGATTGTTGTGTTTTTTTTGTTATTATTACCCTTGTAGAGTCACATAAGTGTGATCCTACTATAAGGACAACTCACTATGCACCTGGCTCACGGGGCGCGCTTAGCCGGGGTAAACCTGTCGGCCCTCACGGGCCTCGGCCTCTATCCGGTCAAGTCGTGTAAGCTCCTCGTCGTCAAAAGTCAAGGTGGAGACGCGTCCACCTCGCACGACTCGGACCTTCCGCGTATCATAGACAGAGGTCATCCGTGAGGCGAGCCTCTAAACTATGACGCGGAACGGTTGACACATCCGAAACAGGTGTGTGGTCGTGGTATCCTTAATTCGGATGATGCTGTAGCGCTCCCCGGATAGGGTAATTTTGACAATCACAATGACCCGAGAGAGGCATTGGAGGTTGCTCACGCGATGGAAGTACAAGGTATATCCATGAACTTCCTCCGGAAGTCGGGTCACATTAGCACAAACATCCGCGCGCGAGTTAGGAAAAAATCCCTACCCATCGCTGAGCAGGCCAATAAAACCAATCCAACGTGTGGGCGCTCCATCCCGAACCAGTAATAATCGCTCCGCTCGCCGGATCAGCTCCTCGTCCGTAGTGTCGCGAATCAGTAGATATCTGGCCTGAGTGAAGTCCCGTTGTCCGCTAGACATCTGCACACCGAAGAAGCCACCTATTAGAAGAGGCGCTCGTAAATTTCACAAGCCTCATCATAAAACGCGGTGATGTCGAAACGTTCCGAGCGAATGGTATTAAATCTGTTTGCTCGGACCCGTCTCACGTGATGAAGAAGGTTGAATGGACCTTGCGAATCGTTCAAATGGAGTACAATATGGAGGAACATCCCTCTAACCTCAGGAGTGTTCTCTACTCCCGAACAGTCCTCGTGAACCACAATTAGGTTCATGTCTCTGTAATCTCGTGATGGATTAGGAGGTGCAAAATCATATCGCACAATACGCTGGCCTGGTTCAACCAAGAAAATATAACTCCGCGGTGGTTTCCTCACGCTCTCGTCCCAGAATCGTGGCACATCCCGTTCCGAGTAAACCTCAAGTGGGTTGTACACCGGCCTTCCATTCCGTATCACGCCGGCGAGGGATCGTGTCGGCACTGTTAACCAGTTAGCCGCCGCCTCACGTGTGCTGGACAATCGGAGAATCACTGTCTCCGCAAGCATCTGAACGACGAAGCGGTAACTCTCGTCAAAATAAATTCAGTTATACCCATTTTCATGTTCAATCTTCACTCCCCTTTTCGGGCCGTGATTCTTGTGTCATGGTCCGACCGCGAAAGTAGTGCCTATTTGCACTCCCTTTAACACTAGTTGAATCACGGGCTGGGCTTCTTGTGGCGCCAACCCTCCCACGCGTTGGTGGCTCCTAAAACGACCACCGAGCAGGTTACTAGATTCAGCCTCCCCTTTYCCTGAAAGCACGAGGAGGCGACTGCTCCTAGCTTCAAGACACCCTACCCTCTAGGAAGTGGTTCGGAATACCCCTCCCCCTCGCCCGAACACATTGTTCAGGACTCAGAAGTTGGGCTGGCTCCACCGCAACAGCATGGTATCTCCCCGCATAAGCGGTCCGCTCCGAGTCGATAACAGGGTCGGCCCCTAAGGCAGCGAACCCCCACCTCGGATGCCTCCTTGAGAGAAGAAGCCCTGAGCCCTAGGTGCAGACGACCGCTCTATGCCTCCCGGCTAAGGGTCGACTTGGACGAATCAGGAAGAAAAGGAAGTAAGATACTTTGGACGGGCATTGAATGAAAAAGTCCTTGGGAAGATACTAAGGTATTCCCTTGTCTTCCTTTCTTTCAATTTTTCCACGGACTTCATTCTTTCGGCACCCGTCCGTTCACACTTTCATTGTTATTTTTGTTTCTCCTCTTTTCTTTCACATGTATTCAGGTTGAGCGTCTCCATTATTATCTTGAGCAACCAATGCTGATCCCTTCTCACATGCATATCCCACCCTACCTGCACAATCAAGAAAATAAACAATCAAGAGATTCATCCATCCCCAAACAAGTCAGCCCTTTCCCCACACGCATGACATCACACTCTTACTCTACCTTTTCCCCTGAATTCAAATCAAGGTCATGCAAGTTGTGGGTTCACGCGGGTGTGCAAAGGAACCGAGTCACACTGACCTTGAGTGAATTTTATGAAGGCTCACTCAAGAAAGCCGGTTATTTTCTCAAGAAAAGTTCGGCCTCACAACCCTCGTTGTGGCCGTTCTCAAGGACGAGCCACACCGTCCTTCAAATGCCACCACTGACTCAGGTGCCGCTCACCAACAGAGAAGCGAGCTCGCCGTTTGAGGAGAGTGTCCCACTCTCAAATCCCACAGCCCTAACGTCACACCTTCCACCAAAAACAGCGCCAATTCAACCTTCCAAATACCAAGTCAGGTCACCACCTGCCTGCCGCAATACTTGGTGGTCCCGGACCCAATCCCCGCTTACTCGGTATGCCGCAAAAAAAAATAACAACTGCCTCAGCAATTCTTACAAGTGCCGCGTGCCGCAACGCTGTCAACAAGACGATCGCCACACCCTTTCTATTCCAAGGTACACTTCCACCTTGGCAGTACCGTCCCTGCGGCAACGTTCAATCCCCCTTCTCGTACTCCTGTGCAAAATACTATCTCCACAACCTTCGGCAGCGCCTCCGCCGTACTGCCAAGAAACCCAGCGCTGCCGCCGCACAATTTCGGCAGCGCTTCCGCCGCACTGCCAAGAAAACCGGTGCTCCCGCCGCAAGAATTCGGCAGCGCTTTCGCCGTACCGACAAGAAAACCGGTGCTGCCGCCGCAAGAATTCGGCAGCGCTTCCGCCGCACCGCCAAGAAACCGGTGCTGCCGCCGCAAGAATTCGGTAGCGCTTTCGCCGTACTGCCAAGAAAACCAGCGCTACCGCCGCACAATTTCGGTAGCGCTTCCGCCCAAGGGTACAACGATGCGACCTCCTACTCAAGAAAATCCGTTGCCGCACGGCCCAATCCAACAGCAGCCTTACGGCTATGGCTCCTCCATAGCCTGCAGCACAGTACAAGAGGTGGGGCAAGAAGCTCCCAGCCTCTAGCTATGGCTGCCTCCTCCTCCCTCCAAGCGCTTCTGCAAACCTCCAGCACTTCGCCTCATCACACCAGCAGCCAGCCAACCAGCATCTACTCAAGTAGAATGCCCCAGCAGCATTGCCACAAGTGTGAGGCTGTTGGGTTTTGGGCTAACTTTTATAGTTGGCTGAGGGCTGAGGGCAGCTGCTTGCCCCCAGCCAAATCCCGGAACAGAGCCTGGCCCCGGATCAAATCGCGATCAAGGGTCAGAGAACTTGATGTTCCCCTAGGGGAACCAAGTTTTGAACCTTGGTAATGCATCTGGCCTTCACCCGCAGCCAGACGCAACCCAGAAATGGTTGTACTCAGCCATTTTCGAGCAGACTGTTGGTTACAAAAGTCTGCTGTCTATTCATAGTCCAGATGCTTCTAAACTTGCACCTGGACCGAAGCCGCGGCTAGATCCGCGGCCGTTCCATTTTCTTTTCCCAACTCCTTCCCCCTTTTTTTTTCTTTTCGTTTTTTTTTTTTTTTCTAAGGTAAAGGCAGCTCGTCGTTTGAACACGAATGAGCACGTCCACCCCCTAACTCCTTCCCTCATCGTCGGTAGCCTAGGCTTTAACTTTAATTTTCCCATGACCACACACTATTGCGGTCTCGTCGAAAGCCGCGGACGACATTGCCAACTCCCGCTATCCCGCACGGACGTCGAGGTCGTCCTGCGTTGACGACGTCGGGCTCAAAAAATTCAGGTCTCTCAGTCGTAGCGCTGGTTCGAATAAACTTTGGCAACGTCAATCTCATCAAGTCCCCCAATCTAGTGAAAAGGTCAGACAGCGTCCGACGTTGAAAAACACGGGCAGATACGCTTGTCAAGGTTTCT